TGTAAGGGCAGGGACTGGGTCTTGCCCATCTTTGTTGCCTTGCATATCGTTGATGCCTGGAATATAACTTTTCAGATTGAATGGATTGCATAACTCAACTGCCACTTGGATTTTCTTCCCGTAAATCAACTTTCAGCTACTTTACTCTCTCTTCATATTTTTCTCTCTGTGAGTACCTAAAACTGGATGTTTCAAAAATTTCAACTTATTGCTGTTGTGTCCCTCATCTTGGGCTTTGACACACGTTTTTTCTGGGCCAGGGTTGTACATTTGTGTCTTGGCAGCTTGAGAGCTATGACTGTGAATAATGAGTCAATTATCATCCAGCCTCGGGGAAAGCACAATTATTCCTGACTGCCCAGGCTGAGGTAATCCTCTCCTCCCTGTGCCCTTTCAAATGAAGAACATAAAACAGTTGGAATTCAGAGCACTGCAAAGGGAATTTAGACAAAACATTTGTCTGCTGAATTTAGCTTCTTTGGATTTATTCTGATGTATGATTGATTGGTTTTTAAATTGCTTATTTAATCCTAATGACTGTCGCTCCAGGGGAGGCCAGATACCAAGGAGCATGTGATCAAGAAGCAGTGGAGTGAAGTAGTTTGGCTGGACAAATCAAGAGCAAATATTATTGTCCAGAGAAACATTGCTCTAGGCTAGGAATATAATGTGAAAATCACCCCCTGACTTTCAAACTACCCAGCCTTGTTACAAGCATGATTGCTTATCCCCTATTCTCTTTGCAGAAGGCTTTTTGCAACTACCCAGTGTTGCACAGAATTTCCCCCCATGAATTTTTCTTTCCTTCTAGCAACATAGCCAATATCTCTTCTCGACTGAGAACATGCTCTTGATTTATATTGCCATTGACAATGGTGCAGAAGTACAGACACTTGAGGTTGTTGTCAGGATTTGGTCATGAATTCTGATGTTGGTTGTGTTGATCTGTGAAAACTCTCCTGCCAGTGTGGTGATACTTCTCAGCACAAGGGGTGTAGTCTACTCTGGCTTTTATATGGACGATTTGAATTTTTAAAACATTTTTTTCAAAATGGAGTTCTCTGAAAGCGATCACTTTCATCCAGATGATATACAATCAGTATGTGATTAATGTTTAATTTATTGAGGAATCTGTGGTTTCCACCTTTTCAAGGAGTGAAATATTTTTCTTTGACCTGAAATTAGACATGGTAGGTCTAGTTGGTGGCTTTGTAAGGGAGATCTGTTGGAAGCTTGTCTGTTTGGTATCAAAAGAAAATTGAAATTCCATTGCTTCAGAATAATGCAGGCTTTAGGAGAAAAACAACAACAACAACAACAATAAAAAGCCTTTGTTTCATCGTATTGAAGTTTTGACTCAGAAATGTCCAAAGAAACTCTCTTTCAGGTCTCAATAATCTACTTGTGCTCTGAAATATTGCTGCTAGATTTCTAAAGTGTGTTATGTCTGACACGTATTTCAAAGCAAGAAACATTAGGGATGAGATGAAAGGGGGAAAAGGACTCCATGGGACACAGAAACAGAAGGAGATGAGACAGACACTTGGGTGGCACGTTTGGATTGCCACCAGGATAACTCTGGGAGGCTTTAGGCTACTTTGGATTCTGGGCTGTGCCAACATCTGCCATTTTGACATTATCATATTGAAAAAAGAACTTTTTTCCTATCTTATTCTGCCAAGAGATTTACTTTTTGCTGCTTTTTCAAAAAATGATAAAAGCCTTTATGAGAAGCACTTCTGGGTCTTTGGAGTGATAGAGTAAATATTCTTGTGAAACTACTTTCAAGGTTCAGGAAGAAGGCCTAAACTGTAGGTTCCGTCAGAGAGAGAGCAAGTTCTTTTCTGAATCTTCTGGTATTTTTTAAATGAAAGCTTTATGTTTATGAAAGAAAGTTTTAAAAGGATGAACAAGATATTTTGTTCGATTTGAGACCCCAACAATAGCTCAACATCAGCATCAGAACCTGGGACTTTATTCTATATTGCTTTTTAGTTTGAAGGAGTTTCAGCTGGTTATCTGTCAGATCACCTGGCGTGTGATTGGAAATGGCAGAGGCATACATTGAGTGATTATGAGAATAAATAGAACTTGTCCTTACAGAGCATCAGTTCTTCCCAAACATTACTGTGCTTTTGAGGTTTTTAAGTCAATAGACTACTACAATAGTGTGCTGGGACATAGTATTTTCTCAGTCAATACTAGATTAACATTGTGCTAGTCTTAAAGGATAAGCAGGGAGAAGGGAAACTGTGCCACCTCCTATTAGAACAGTGCACTGAAGAATGACAGGTAGTCACAGGAAGTTTTCTTGCCTCTAACTTTGACAGAGTTTGAGGAACTGTTTCATTCCTCGCATAACTTCTGTTTCCAAGCATTTCTATGTGTAACTCACGCTACCCTGCTACCATTGCTTATTTTTGCCCTAGGACTGATTTAGGACCCTTCTGGGGGCGGTAAAAGGGGAGGAAGTCCAGGAGGAGAAGTCCTAAGACCATCTTTACCTCACTTATCTGATCTTTCATAGTGCTGGTTGGTTACTCCAGCAGTATTCGTGGCAACCCTCCCACTACCTCACTCATTCTCCCCGCTCCCCGCCTCCCTGCCCCCCATGCCAGCTACCAAGGCTGATGCTTTAAATCAAAGTTTCTACTCTCCCCGTGGAAGCTAGTTAGGAGCCACAGATGCTGGTGTAGAAGTCAGCAGGAAGAGCTGGCCTGAACTTGTGTTATTTATTAATACAACCCTTTTAAAGAGAAAGTGATACAGTACTTGCATTTTCCCGCTCTGGCTTATTGGGTATTAATAACATGTTATAGACTAGGTTACCTTATCTCTGTGCTCCAACAGTAATCCTGTGTTAATGTCCTATAGATACCCCTACAAGTCTTAACTCTGCCAATGATGGGGTAGAAGGAAGCAAAGAAAGGACTCTGGAGTTGCAGCAGGCTGTGAAAAAGAATCTCATTGACTCTGATGCAACTAATAGCTCAAGAGAAACAAAGCATGGCCACCACTGGGCTGGGTTAGGCTGTCTTGTAACCCCCTTAGTTAGATACCTGCCTACAAAGCTCACAGGTCAGACAGTCCTTGTGACTCTGGAGCCTTTTCATGGCGGAGCACCATAAGGGGATGGAACAGGGTTCTCCAATCTGCCTGATTTCTGCCCTTGGCCTCTTTTGAATCTCTTTGTCACTCTTCTGTTGATCACTACATAGATTCCTGCATTTGCTATTGTCATTTGCAGCAAGTCACTTCTGGTTTTGGAATGTACTGTGCACCCTTGGTTCTTCTTGTGCTATTGTAAACTTTTCTTCTTTGTCTCTTTTCTGGGATTTTTTTTTTTTTCTTTTTTCTGCTTCATTCTTCTGTTCTCTAAGGACGTGTTGCCTTCATTTGCTATATTACTCTAAGTGGCATAGCACTGTGGTTGGGAGTGTGGATTCTGAGTCAAAAGGCCTGGGTTCAAATCCCCACTGTGCTATTTACCAGCTGTGTAACTTTGAACAAGTTACTCAATCTCTTTGTAGGCCTTGGTTTCCTCAACTGTAAAATGGGGATACTAATGGTACCTACCTCTAGGGTTGCTGTGGGCTTTAAATGAGATTTATGAGATGCTCATAAAAGAGTATCTGACACTCAATAAATGTTAACCCTAATTATTAATTCTAATATAGAAAGCAATTTTATGGCTTAAACGATTATCCCAGTGTAATTTTTACCAGATACTTACCTATTGCTACGATATCTCTCCTGCATTTTAGCCTACACGTGCAGCTGCCTCTGGGACATTTCCCTCACAATTTCTACTGACACCTCAAATGAACATGATCAAAGCTTAATTCATTATCTCTCATCCAAATTTATCCCCTACATTTCTGTTAATGGCATCATGTTATCATTATCTTCTCAACCTCTTTTTTTTTTTTAAAGATTTTATTTATTTGAGAGAGAAAGAATGAGAGACAGAGAGCATGAGAGGGAGGAGGATCAGAGGGAGAAGCAGACTCCCCGCTGAGCAGGGAGCCTGATGCGGGACTCGATCCCGGGACTCCAGGATCATGACCTGAGCTGAAGGCAGTCGCTTAACCAACTGAGCCACCCAGGCGCCCCTCTTCTCAACCTCTTAATTTAGGATTAATCTTAGGCTTTCCTTATCCTAAGAAGATAATCATGAATGTGCATAGATTTAGTACAAAGGTATTGTTTATAGTTTTAAAGATTTTATTTTATTTATTTTTTAAAGATTTTATTTATTCATTTTGACAGAGAGAGAGAGAGACAGCGAGAGAGAGGGAACACAAGCAGGTGGAGTGGGAGAGGGAGAAGCAGGCTTCCCGCCGAGCAGCGAGCCCAATGTGGGGCTCCATCCCAGGACCCCGGGATCATGACCCGAGCCGAAGGCAGACGCCTAATGACTGAGCCACCCAGGCGCCCCTTGTTTATAGTTTTAAATTGTCAAGAATAGTCAAACATTGCTTTTTAGAAGTATATGGTTGCACAGATAAAATATGAGAAAAATAGCCATTGAAAACAATTGTTACAGCTTTTCTGTTTTGTAAGATTATGAGTGATTTTCTAATTTTAATTTTTTCTCTTACAAATTTTCCAAAATCACCCATATGTTGCTTCCATATAAGGAAAACCTCCCCTTAAATTTAGAAAAAAAAAGAGATAATTAATGTCTAAGAGTTTTGCAAATACTGTACTTTATTGACCTTTTAGCAATGGCTGAGAACAGAGCTGGGTATATAGTAAGCACTTAATAAGTATTTGTTGAAAAGTGAATGAAACAGTGTTATCTTTGTGTGCATTTTTAGAAATAATTTTATAAAATTCAGAGTGCTCAGTACCTCAAGCATTCAGTTTGTAGATTTTGAAGAGCAGTTTTGTTGTTGTTGTTGTTGTTGTTGTTATTTGGAAGAAAGACTCTCAGGAAATGCAAAATAAACTAGACTGGGTGTGGCATATGTTTTCTAATATGTAACTTATCATTTCAGAGGATAATGTGACCAAAAGAGGAGCATTTGAAACCGATTCTTCAGAAAACATATTTCCTTCAATAAAATTTGCTCGTGAAAATGAACCAAGTGATCATCATCTTAGAAATAAAGCCATCTTTCTTCGTACTTCATCACAATGTTCAGAAGAGGAACAGGTAATACCATAGGACATTTATAGAAACAGGAAAAAAAGCATTCTTTATGAATTAAAAAGAGAAAGAAACTGTAAAAAATGTAAGAAACATTGGACAGTTATTGGATCAGTAACTCAGACTCTTAATTCTAGGAGGAGTGCCATTGGGAAACTTTATTAAGAATCATCATTACATTTCTTTCTCTCTTTTTTTTAAAGATTTATTTATTTGAGAGAGAGAGAGAGTGTGTGTGAGTGTGAGAGTTGGGGGAGGCAGACTTCCCACTGAGCACGGAGCCCAATACAGAGCCCCGTCCCAGGACCCATGAGATCATGACCTGAGCCAAAACCAAGAGTCAGACGCTTAACTGACTGAGCCACCCAGGCACCCCAAAAATCATCATTATGTTTCATGATTTCAGCAGCCAATGTTTATGATGGTAACTTGGTTAGCCCCAAGTTTTTAAGTTCCTTTAAGGAACTGCCATCTAAAAATTCTTGAAATTATTTACATATTTTAGCTTGTCCTCTATTTGGGACAAAAGAATTCCTTTTTATAGTTCTCTGTGTAAAATGGGAGTTTCTTTTATCTGCTCTGGATTTATCTCTTAAGGTAAAATCTGTTATCTTGTTTTTTCCAAGATTTAGTCATTAAATATTGGATGCAAGACTTAATAGACAATATTCATATTCTCCATAGCTATGGTTTTTAACTCTCAAGGAACCGTAGGGGAAGCTGTTCTACTTTTTACAACATTTGAATTTCTACTTTCTAGCTCATCATGTCTTCCTTGTGTTATTGTGGACAAAATTGTATATGAGATTGTGGTTTCAAATGAGGGAACAAAATTCTCTGTGTTAGGAAAGTGTTTATATACGGCAGAGGCCTACAATTCTTTAAATCCAGAACTTGCTTCCAATGAGATGATTATGGGACCAGAACTTTTTTTTTTAAGATTTTATTTATTTATTTGACAGAGAGAGAGAGCATAAGCAGGGGGAGCAGCAGAGGGAGAGGGAGAAGCAGCTTCTCTTCTGAGCAGGGAGCCTGATGCGGGGCTCGATCCCAGGACCCTGGGATCATGACCTGAGCCGAAGGCAGACGCTTAACAACTGTGCCACCAGGCACCCCCAGAACATTTTTTTCCCCCTAGAGGATTCACTTTCTACTGGGAATCACTAGCTATGGGAATTATATTTTCTACTGAGTCTTTAACCAGCATGTGGAGAGGCATGATCAATGATACTGTTTCCTAATAACTTAAAAATGTTGTATTAGCATTCTCTGGTTTGTCCTTGAGAGGGTCATTGGGATGGGATGGGAGGTGGGGTAATGAGGTGGGGAGTGTTCCTATTTTACACATGAGAAAACTGAGGTTAAGTAATTTACTCTAGGTTATTCTGTGGATGAGTCTAGAGGCACAAGTAGAAGTCAGACCTCCTGAGAACTATTCCCTGACCACTTCTATGGCTTAGTGGATCTGGTCCATCATGCATAGCTAATTAACAAAAACCGGAAGGGGAGTTTTATTGCCTGAAGGGCTACAAGATCAGCTCCTTTATTTTTGGTAGTTTCATTTTCTCATCAAGATGCCCCCACTGTTTTTTTCAGATAGTGATAGATGAAGGCCAAAAAGTTGGCAGTTCCTTTCAAGGTGATCTGAATCGGGCAGGAAGGGTGAAGGTAAGGCATGATTCAATTTTCTTCCATAGCAAAAAATACAAAAAAGTAAAAACAAAGCAAAAAAATCCCAAAGGACCCATTTGCTGTCTCTCATACAAAATTGGAGAATTCAGCAGATTTGGTCCATATATATATATCTATAGATATATATTTTTTAAACTGGAGTTTAAATATCTTAAGCCATGCTTGGTTGGCTGGGTTCCAGATCTTTCTTCCTCAAAGCTTAGCAAATGAATGGGTGCTTCAGTAGAGAAACATGACTCTAGTCCCCCTGAACAATCACCATTAAGAGAAATGACAATATAACAGCTTTAGTACTGAAACCATCATGGGAAGATAAATTTTTGCTGTCACTTGGATGCCAGGAAAGAACTGCAGTTATGTACTTACAAACAATGGAAGCTACCATTTTTAATTCACACATAAAAGCCATGGTCTGGGACGTAGAGCTAGGGGAAGAAAGACCCAGGCTATGTTTTGAATTCCACTTATGAGATCTAAATTTGTAATTTTATGTTATTTTGTCATGAACATGTTTTAGGTCATGAACGTAAAAGGCATTTCGACATTATGCCTTTACTCTACGAAGTCTCCTTTGTGCCAGTGGTGAAATCATTTTCTTATTTACAGTCTTTGATATTCACCTGAGATGAATTAGTTCGTGTCTGAAATGTTACCATTTTGTTAATCTGAAATGTCTCATTGTCAGCTTGCTGTGGAAAGCAGTATTCCATGTGGAATAGTCTTTCATTGAAATGCTGCTATTGTGTCTGTAAAGGTCATTTGCTCTGCTTTTTACCTTTGAAGTAATTTTCGGTTTTATTTGCTCGAAAGAGAGAACACTTGATTTTTGGCCCTGCTCACCTCTCTTGTGATTTACCTGGGGCAGGATGATTTTGTTTCAAATGAACCTTTCTCTTTTGCTTTCTTTAGTTTCTTCTCTCTGGCTCTTTAGAGTGAAAAGCCCATTATGGTAATAGCCAGACCTACCACCATCATTTACTTGAGAAGCAAAAGCAATAAAACAAAAACAAATAACAGAGACACTGTTTTGGACTGTCACGGTGGTGGTATATATCCTGGGAGAGAATCTGGGAACAAAGTCCCTTTTCAAAAACTCCTCAGACTGTTCTTTCCCTTTCAGTACAGAGATCTTACTATGGTGCCTACAAAATCCAGGCCAACTTCCAAATTTACCGTTTCTTTCAGATGTCTCTGGGAAAGCACAGTGAACACAAAGACCTTTAGCTGGGACTCAAAAGTTAATTAGAAAAGTGGATACAGTTGCTCACTTTGAATGCTGTGGAAGTGGATTCATTGATTCTTGATTGCAGTTTTTCATTAGGTCTAATATACATAACAATGATGTTAATCCTTTTCTAGGTAGACAATTTCCTAGATTTAGAAGATTTGGATGTGGATGAAGAGACTCAGCCCCAAAAGAGCAAGGGTAGGCTTTCTATTTCCTCTCCATACTGCTTGATCTCTTCTCAGAAACTACAAATAAGACTTTAGACAGCTTTTTTTTTTTTGGCAAGCCCTACTTGCACCTTCCCCGACTTAGGGAAAACTACAGTCCTGCAATTTCTTTTTCAGTAACAAAGATTTCAGCCGAAAGGTCAAAGCCTGTTGAAGGTTGTAAAGTCTTTGGTCTAAAATGAAATAAAGGTGCCCTCCCCCACATCCCCATGTGGTTGAATTTTGGATAGTTTTCTCAAGTAGAGCCATTTGAGTCAAACCCTTATTTCTTAGAAGCACCATGTAAATTGAGTTATTTTTGAGTGATACATATCAATTGATCATAAAAATAGCAGAATTTATCATAAAATAAAAAATAAAATCAAAATTTTTACTTTCATAAATATTTATTAAATATGTAAGCCAAACACTTAAGACTAAAGACATATTGTAAATGTTTCTTTGGGGCATTTTTCCAATTGAGCTGGGCTGGGAAAGGCTTAATGCTAGTTCAGTGATGTTTATGCAGATGAGGCCTTTTCCCTTCCTGCTTAACATTACTGTGTAAACATAGGTATCCTTTGTTGCTCAAAAGACCTTTGAAATATGTTCAAAATTAGAGTTGTTTGTTTTGAAAAATCTCATTCCTAATTTAATATGCAAGAATATCTCAAAGTTGATACTGAATGTTAGGTAAGGGGCTGTTTCCCTTGGGGGTTTGGTTGCTGGTGTTGAACTATTGTTTACAGTCTTTAGGTATTCATAAACATGGGTGATGGTCTGATTGTTGGGGAAGGTGATTTGTTTATAATCACAAAAAGTGACAGTGCTGGATGTTGTCTCCGTTTGGGGGTGGCTCTGGCTTCTCTGGTTGCCTGAATTTGAGAGGCTTTGGTAATTGGAAGCAATTAACATTTTTATTTGGCTTCCAAACATCACAGTACTCCGCTGAAGGGATTGTTTCTCACGCACTGTATTAACCAGTAGACTTTGCGTGGATTTTTTCCTTACTTACTTGGTTCAAGTGAGATCAGAGATCTAAAGGAATCACATGCTCCAGGGAGAGGTTCTCTTAACTTTAAAATCCCAGGCATCTCTGAATTTCTCTATGTGAGCGGCTTAGGGGGTCCGATTGGATCAGAAGGGATAGCTAAGGACTTATCAGGAAGCCGGGTCTGTAGAGCAAGCACACTATTTTGGGGGAAGAGGAGATTTGAAAATGCAGATTCCTGGGTCCTATTCCTTTTTCTTTTTTTAAAAGATTTTATTTATTTATTTGACAGAGAGAGACACAGCGAGAGAGGGAACACAAGCAGGGGGAGCGGGAGAGGGAGAAGCAGGCTTCCCACAGAGCAGGGAGCCTGATGCGGGGCTTGATGAGGGGCTTGATGCGGGGCTCCGTGTGGGGCTTGATCCCAGGGTCCTGGGATCATGACCTGAGCCGAAGGCAGACGCTTAATGACTGAGCCACCCAGGTGCCCCTCCTGGATCCTATTCCTAAGAGAGAGTCTAATTCAGAAGGTCTTTGGTGACAGCATTTTTCACCACTATCTCAGGGGATTCTGATATAGTTGTCTGTGGAAGACACTTGGAGACAAATGGTTCTGGTCTGCATGCAGTACATTTGCAATATAAATTTAATTTTATAGGAAGGCACAAAAGTGTACGGGTTGGACATTTTTTCATGGCTTACATTTCTTGCTTCCTGCCATTAGCGAGAAAGTCTGTATACTGGCATAAACCTACATAGGTAACAAATCTGATTATGGTTATATCAGTCTTTCAAATTAACCTTTTTACCTTTTCCATTATTTTCACATTGTTTTCTTTAAATATTTTTCCAAGTTGTGTTTTTTTTATTACCAGATCTATTTCTTCAGTTAAAAAAATAGCATAAAAACATCTCACTACTATGATTTTTCCAGCAATCAGATAACAGGCAGTGTTGCATTTGTAAGAGGTTGCTGAGGCGGAACCAGGTCTCCGTAGACTTGAATGAGCTAGTCAAGCCCATCCCACGTGTAAAATAAGGTGGACAGACCGGGCTGGAAAGCAACCCAGGCTTCAATGATCTATTCCAGTTACTGAAAAGATCGCCAGGGCTTCACAATTTTTATAATGTAAGATCTGGGTCATTTGAAAGGAAAAAAAATATTAGTTTGTGCCAAGGTGAATTTTAGTTTGGGCCTAATTTGTATTACACTGTAGGAATGTGAGCAGATGGCAGATATTTGTATCAGATGGGAAATGTGACATTTTAAATAGGCAAGTTGCTTGTATAATTTTGGCAGCTGAGAGGTTTACTGATTAGATCCTGTTGTTATGGTTTAAGCAACAGATTTGCCCAGGGCAACAAGGAAGAGAGCCACGTATTGTTTCTCTATCACTGATTTTATTTGTTCACCTATTTGCTTTCATAAATATTCTCCAAGATTCAGGAGCATGATTCTTTCCCAGGATTCAGCTTATCATTTTGGTGGCCCAGGCAGAGACAAATTTTCAGAGGAGCCAACGCCATGCAGCTGAATCGAGCAGTTGTCTGAGGGTAACATTTGCCACGAAGTTTGGTGCCCTGTGTTTATTTGACATCAAGTTAACCACTTTTTCCTCCTTTGAATTCCAGATAGGGTGGTTAACCTGATGGTTACTGTCAGAGCCCAGACTCTTATCCAGAAAAATGATTATTTGGAATAGGTATTAGTTATTATGCTGAGGCCTTAGAGCAGGAAGAAACTTCTGGTCGTCTTTTTTTATGTTTTCCCCTCAGTTGGCCGAGCCTGTGCTCTGGCTGAGTGCAATTGACTGAAGAGAGTCTTTTGAGGTCTTAGTCTCAGAATCATACCGTCTCATACAGGTCTCTTGACTGGTGGTGGGTGTGCTTACGCTGTGATTGATTGTGTTGGGTGAGAACAGGCAACTGACACCTGTGTGAAGATTAGCAACCTTATTTGATTTTCATTTTCAAGCTGTCCAGTACTCCCAATTCTAACAAAGGCATCAGTCACCTCTTTCTTAAAAAATTCTTTCCTTATTTGCAACTTTAAGCAGCTTTTTGCAGCCAATGAATGGCCTGGGACTCTTATTCAACAGACGTGTAACAACTATGACTGGAGCCTGGAATCTAATGAAGAATAAACAGATCCAGCTTCTGTCCTCATTGAATTCATTAACCAGACATTAACCAGATAATCACTAATATAAGATTATAAATTGTTCTAGATCTCATGAGAACATATGGCAGGAGAACTTAAATTTGTCTATGAGATCAGAGAAAGGTCCCTGAGAGCCTGAGATCTAAAGGATAAGTAGCTGAAGGTCCTGAGCTCAGAAACACATATTTCAGCCAACTTATAGTTTAGGCATTTTGTTTATTTTATACTTAGTATTGTTAAAAATCATTCTTTCAGGGATACCTGGGTGGCTCAGTCGGTTAAGAATCCAACTCTTGATTCAGCTCAGGTCTTGATCTCAGGGTCTTGAGTTCAAGCCCTGTGTTGGGCCCCCCACTGGGTGTGGAGCCTACTTAAAAAAAAAAGAAATCATTCTTTCATTGCCCAGAAGATCATTAAAAACATTGAGAGAGAAAAATCCTTCCTTCCAAATGTTCTTTTATCCCTCTTCCTCCATTTTTTTTTCCTGTTCCTCCAATTTTTATATGTGCAAACTTACCTATCTATGAAGGCCCAGCTTGAAAGCCACATCAACCACAAGGGCAAACCTGTTGCCCGATCCTCACAGTTGTACAAGGAAACTTCCATTCCATTCTTGAGAAGAGCATAGGACTGGGAAGATAAGTCTGCCCTTTCCAAATCCTCCATCTCTTTCTCCCCAAGGGAAATGTAAGGCTTTATCTACTTAGAGAGATTGAGAAAAGAAACTATGTATTTATGGATCAGCCCCTTTGTTTCTTCTTTTGAGTTCATGCTGTTTGGAAGATGTATGTCTTCTCCTCTGAGTCTGTGCCACCTTTCTTATAGTAGACACACTTTACATGGGGCCCATGCCAACCTTACTCAGTGTTTTCAAACTTAGAGACACAGTGGAATCACTTAAAAAAGAAATTAGATATCTGGATCCTGCCTTTGCAGATTCTTTTTCAGGAGTCTGGTGTGTGTCCATTTTAAAGCTTCTCAGGTGATTCTCCTGTGCAGTTGAGGCTGGGAACCATCTCTAGGCAGACATCTGGAGGCATTACTCTCTGAGGCCCAACTTTAAGGGCTCTAGTGATATGAAGCAGTTCTTATACCTGGATGGATCCGGGTGTCAGCTGTGTGGACTTTGTCAGGTGGGATCCCAAGGTCTAGACTTGTAGGAAAGGTTGATACGTAAGAAGCCCAAATGTGACTGCAGGACAAGCTCTGTTTTCAAATTCAGCTCTATTAATTGTTTTTTTTTTTAAAGATTTTATTTATTTATTTGAGAGAGAGAGAATGAGAGATAGCACAAGAGGGAAGAGGGTCAGAGGGAGAAGCAGACTCCCGGCTGAGCAGGGAGCCCGATGTGGGACTCGATCCCAGGACTCCAGGATCATGACCTGAGCCGAAGGCAGTCGCTTAACCAACTGAGCCACCCAGGCGCCCTCAGCTCTATACTGTAAAGCTCATGTTTTAGTCCTTATCTTTCTGACTTCTGGATATATTTTTTTGTTTCTATGCTTGAAGATAGAGGGATCTGATTTACTATCACTGTCAAATGTCAACCCCACCCAGTGTAGTAAGTCTTCCTTCATCTTCCCGATCTTCTCCTCCTTTTGCACTTCCATTTTTATTTATTGTGCAATTTTTTCCTCAAAATAGGTGTTAGTTAATGGGTCCCTTGAAAGCAGCATATGGTTTATATATATGCATCTATACATACACATTCTAAAGTTTTGTCTTTTATTGGGAGTATTTAGTTCATTTACACTTAATGTAGTTGCTGATACATTTGGCTTTAAACCTAGTATCTTATAATTTTGTTTTCTGCTGTCCTGCCAGTTTTATGTCTTTTTCC